AACCCCGTCCCCTGGTACCACGGTTGGTATATCAATGTACGTGTACGTCCCAGGCCGTGAAACTTGAAAATACTGTGAAAGAGCCCTGACTAACGCTTCCCAAAAAACGCCCGTTTTAGCCTTTGTGTGAACGTAAAAAAAGGGGATTCGGGATGCCTAGAAGGCATTTGCTACCTTCACGCATCTCATACGCCTCTTACTCCTCATTTTTAGTAACGCCTGCTTCATAGAGTTCGTAGTGCGGATTGAGCAAATGTTTTCTTACCGCTCATCTTGTTATGTGCTCTTTTACTGTACAGTGGCTGCCTGTGGTTTCCTTTTTTTGCCCTATCAGAAATTGACCAGATCTGATCGCTACCTCAAGGTGTCGCTACTTTCCTTTCTTATTTTCAAAAGTGGCTTTATATACTTTAGGGTCATTATAATAGTAGGTAAGAAGTTTTCTGGTTTGACATGCTGGACCCTGCCCTTAAGCGCTGCTTGCAGGATATTAAAGCTCCTATTAAAGCTACCCTACACTTGTGGTATAAGAAAAATTGCATTGCGACTTGGTCAGAACAGTAAAATAACTGATAGCTTGCTCAGCAGAGAAGCTGTCATTTATTAATAACTTCTTTCGAAGATGTTGAGGACTAACGCGACTCGTTTAAAGAGCTTTTTAGTGAAGTCGCCGATTCTAATGCCCCAAGAATCCGTGTGCGAGTCAGGGGACAAAAGGTACCATGGCTGAGACGCGAGGTGAAACAACTAATCAGTGAAAGGGACCACTTTCATAAACTGGCATTGAGGGCGAACAGTGAACTTCACTGGAGCTTTTACAAGCGTTTATGTATTGTTGTGAAAAGAGAAACAAAGATATTTCAATGAACAGCTCCAGGAGACAAAGGGAGATTCCTGTTTTACCTGGAAAAACTTAAAACAACTGCTCAGAAATGGACCTGAGAGTAGCGGCGCTGCTGCTCGTACGGCAAATGCAACGAAGACAAGTGTAACAACCAGTTTTGATCGCTTCTTTGCAATTTATCTCTTGTTCGGAATATCCAAGGTCGGCCCATCGATCACGCTGGCGATCATTTTTCAAATGGCTGCCTCGATTTCAACGTCAGAAAAATTTAAACTACAAAAGATCACTGTATCGGAGGTTCGTAAGGAGCTTAAAGAATTTAAATCAAAGAAGGCAACAGGTGTTGAACTATTCCATCTGGTCTACTTAAAGACGGAGCAGACCCTGTGTTCTCCATTGTATGTCATTTTTAATTTAACTATCAAACAAAACTGACGTGATCCCTGCGGGATGGAAAAAGGCGAAGGTGACCCCAATAATCAGTCACCCTATATCCAAGTCCTAGAACGTTTAATCCACAAGCAACTTGCAAGCTATTTTTACGAATGTAACTTGCTCTGTAAATCACAATCCGGTTTTAAAAGAATGCACTCAACCGACGGCTGTAACCTATTTCGCCGACGAGATTCTCACGAATATGGATAAGGGCTTAGTCACTAATACAGTGTTTATTGACCTGGCAAAGTCTTTCAACATAGTTGACCGTGAAATTTTGCTTAGCAAATTAGAGTATTATGCTGTATGCGATGAAAGCCTTCCATGGTTTAAGACGGAACTACTTCTCGGGAAGAAAGCAGTCGGTTCACATTGATTTTCAGTCAACTGAAGAGCTTGTCATAACTTCTATTATTTGGAGTGCCTCAGGGGTCTCGGAACCCAGTTATTCATGGTCTACATTAATGACCTACCACGTAGTGTCAAACACGGTTCTGTTATGTTCTGTTCTGCGTTTTTATAATATATCAGTTAATCAGTGATGAATAAATTTATTGGAAATAGCTAACTGCAATGTATATTTGCTTTGTGCACTTTCTCAAACAGCTATCTTGAAACAAAACGTTCTATTTCTTACTTTCGCTACGTACAAACACAAATTGCTAAATGTTATAGCTATTTGGCACATGGTTGGTTGGTCATTTCTGTTAACAATCGACGGACCTTCCAAGCTTTGGCTTTAAATCCTCTCGTCAATCATATCAAAATTAACATAATCTTCATCATTATACTCATCCAGGTTGAGGTGGACCTGTTAAAAATAAATAATTAAATAAATAATAATGATGGTGATGATGATGATGATGATGATGATGATGATGATGATGATGATGATGATGATGATGATAATAATAATAAACTGTGAAATAAACTCAACCTACTTTTGAAATAATAATAAACTTTTTAAAACAAAGAAAAAAAAAGAATTATGTTGTTCAAATCTGGGGGGGATATAGAAAGTGTCCGTTTTGTTAATCAAGAATAGGGTAACAACATGGGCAACTAAAAAAACTGGTCTCTGAGTATGGAAGAAATTTTTTTTGAATTGTTCTTTTTCCTTACAATGGCCACTTTCTGAAGGCCATTGCAAGGATTACTGTAGATCATTTGACAGGTAATCTAATTAGGCCTCTCTATACCTTTTGATCTTTGGTTAATCTCTTAACAGCAGCACAGATCCATTGGAATGAAGGGCGCTCTTTAGGATTCTGAGCCCAGCATTCAGTCAAAATGGAGTATCTGAAAGTAGCAGAACTGTATTTTTTCCTCCTTTTTTTCACCAAAAAAGATATTAATAACAATAATAATAATAATAATAATAATGATATTATTATTATTATTATTATTATTATTATTATTATAATTATTATTATTATTATTATTATTATTATTATTATCCTTGTTATATTAATAACAATAATAATAATAATAATAATAATGATATTATTATTATTATTATTATTATTATTATTATAATTATTATTATTATTATTATTATTATTATTATTATTATTATCCTTGTACCGACTAGGAATTCTCTCTTGGCTCTTAGTCAATAGCCTTGCGAGCATCGGCCCTTTGATCTTCCTAGATCTAGGAAGATTGAAGGGCCTCTGCTCGCAGGGTAAGGCCGAATGGGCTATTGACTCAGAAGCAATGAGGGCGAGAAGAATAATTGTTTTAGTAAAATCCAACTAGTTGGTCAAAAATATCGCGACAAAACAAGTTTAGCTAGTTTAAGCTAGACTAAATCCCTGATCCCCCAAAAGAGCCAGCGCTTTCTGTACTAGCGGGCTATAACATATAGCCTAGTAGTAGCTCAACCAATCAGAACGCAGCATTGATAATTATAATAGACCACTAGTTGGATTTTACTCGTGTAATTTATCCTTTCATCATCTGACATATCAAGGAACAATTCAGTCAATTTATAAGGAAGCCAAAAATATAAAGCAAAAACAAATGAACGATTTCTTTATGCAGTGAAGTATCACCTCCTGTTGACTCTTATTGTTATACGGACTCCTCGCCTCGATGCATATTTAAATAAAAAAGTGAATAGGCCATTTGCACGATGGTGTCATTTTACTACTACGACCAGAATTCTTTTCGTTTTTCCTTTCACATGTAAATTTGGCAATCCCAGCGAGGTTTAAATAACAAAAGGCCTAATTTGCACAAGAAAGCAAAACCCTGAAGGATCCTGGTCATAGTAGTAAAATGACGGCATCATGCAAGTGGCCTATTCTGGCACAGATTCCATTCATTGAATTATCGTACCCTCTCACTTGTCAAAACAACAATCTATCTACCCTCGTAACCAATCCAATAAGTTAACAAATATTTCTCACTGGGAAGATATAAGTTTAGGCTCGACATTTTAGAGAAGAGAACAATATTTTTTAATGCAAGTATTTTAGGTATTTAAGAATTTGTTGCATTGGTAGATCTAGTCTGTAAATATGACTTAATACAACTCTTGGGTCGCAAAGTTATATAAATAAACTATCTATCTATCTAATGAGAGTAATAAAAATAATAATAATAATAATAATAATAATAATAATAATAATAATAATAATAATAAACGATGACGAAAACATTAATGGTAACTACAACATTAACGATAACGATAGCGACAATAATAATCGTAAAACTCACAGTTCTTCAGAGATATGGACCGGCCGCTGCATTCGATACCCCCTTTCAAGCAAAGACGCTACTTCTCGGGCCTTGAAGCGTGGGTACGGCGAGTCTCCTGTAAAAACAAAAACAAAAAAACAAAAACGAAACTCGTTAATTATATTAACTAGACTATATACTTCTTCGACGAGGAATTGAGCTAATGTTACAGCAATCAATCCGTAGTCAATTACCAATTGTGAAAACCTCCCACAGGACAATTCCATACGACCACCTGCAAAAGGAAAGCAAAATAGGAGCAGATTCTTTTGGTGCTGTTGTTGTTTGTTTTCATATAAATGTGGCCATAAGAGTAGTTCTATTCATTGCAACGGTTTTATTACATGTATATGATATTATTGTTATTCGCATCACTAAACAGCTGTTTTAGGTATGGATCGGTTATATCAATGACAATTACTCAATCCTAGATCCATCACTGATGGTGTGAGAATGTTCTCATAATGATATTAAGCTCAACAAAATTCTAAGTTTGCGGGGGAATCTACTAGTGCTGAATACTTCGCTTTGATTCTATATATTTTTCAGTATAGTTTATAATAATAACTATTATTATTCATTCGAAATATTTCCCCGATTCTGATTGGCTAAAATCACACGCATAATTCACCGTAACCAGCTACTGATGACCAAATTTGGAAGAATTTTGCGATTAATCAACCGATGATGTTGATGTTTTGGTTGTGAAAACAAAAAAGGCGGACATTTCACTCGTTTCAAGAGTAAGAACTAGGCGAAATAAAAGCTAAAAACATGGCAAGAAGAGCAAGAAGACAACTCGAAGGGCGACATCTGCCATTAGGGGAATATTTGAGGAGCTGAACAACCCTAAATGTGCACTATTGAAGATAAACTTAACATCGATGGAGGTAAGCATGTTTTAGCTAGGTTTTTAAACTAGGAATTATTTTGAATGAATAATAAAACAATTATTGAATTCGGCTTTAGTATCATATGAAGAATTATGGAGATCTAGGAGAGTGTTATCCACCTTGGCCTACGGCCTCGACGGGTAAAACCCTCCTGCCCCCTCGATCTCCATAATTCTTCATAAGAGACTCAGCCTCATTCATTAATTGTTAAATAAATACTTTGTTATCCTCTACCCTTATGGGCCTTTTTAGGGTAACAAGGTTAAAGATCCCAACTAGTACAGGGCAGCTGAACCAACCGGCTATTTTACTAGGGCGTTTCCGAAAATGTGAACTCGAGACTATCGAGAATAAATCCAGCTAACGGTCACAAAAGCGGTACTTGAATTCGGGAACATCGAGCTACAAGTCCAGTGCTGTTTGATCACAGAAACGGTATGATCAGTACACCTTCAGCTGACACAGACATCCCCTCATAAAGGCCACAGCCCTTAACTGATCAACGTAACACACTTAGTAAAACTCTGCCATTGCACCATGCAAAGGAAGATATTTCCTTACATTTAAAACATGTAAGTGCGGGTTTAAGGAACAGTTTAGGGATCCGAATGAAAACGTGAAAGGTGAAAAGTTTACTAACACGTCACTCATAGAGCTGCATTCTCCGCGAAAGAGAGACTCTGGAGGCATCCACTTGACTGGAAGACGGGCCTTTCTCAAGAAAAGAAGGAAATTATTAGAAATTAATGTAATGAACAACCAATAATGAACGTTTTACCCTACCCAATCAATATCGAAACAGACAAAACAAAAAATAAATATTGGAGTATCCTTCCTTTAATGGGAGCTCTGAAAGATTTAAGTGAAAACGCTACCTGTGATGTCCGCATATAAATGCCATCATTCACATCACGCGCAAGTCCAAAGTCAGAAATTTTGCACACTTGGTTTTCGCCAACAAGAATATTGCGAGCAGCCAAATCACGGTGAACGACCTGAAAGTTATAACATTAAAAAATGTAATAATAATAATTATTATCTTTATTATTATCATTGCAGGCGACAAGAGGAGCCCGCAGTTCTAATCTCCAAGTTGTTATTACGCATGCGTCCTATGTATATAGCCAGCATTCGTTTGGACTTCCACTAAGAATGTATGGAATGCACAGAACGCACTTTGATCACGCGCGTTTAGACGTTCTATCACTCGTAATTTGATCACGCGTGTTTTGACCTACTGTCACGTGAAACGTACGCAAAGCACAGCGCTGGAGCAAAAGCGTTTTCACCTTCGATCGTTGTAGCCCGAGCTGGCTAACCTTTGGGAGTAATAATAGTATTAAAATGAAAATGAAAACTCACTAGGCAGTCAAAATTGAATTTAATTGATCGTATTTTGGCCTTTGTAGTGAAAACAAAAACAACCAACCAACCAAACAAAACAAAACAGAATGAGAAAGAGGAGAATAGATTGTTTTCTTCGATTTTCGAACAAGAAGGGAAATTAAACCCCTCGTCCTTTTTAAGAGGAATAAATTGGAAAAAAAAAAAAAGAAGAAAATTGTGAAAGTCGGATAAATATTTTTTTTTTTTACTGATCACGACCAACCAGGTCAAAAAACAGAAAAAAAAAAAAACAATTTGGCTATGAAGCAATGCCTTGGAAAGAGGGCGTTTGCAAAGTCAATATCTTTCTATCTTAGTCTTTATCTGTTTTTGGTTGAAAATTATTTGTTATTAATGAGTACAGTAGGTCTAATCTTAAGAATAAAGCTGTGTTTCAAATTCATACTGACATGCTTACGGTAAGTCCCGATAACAGGGGCAAGTTACTAGTCAGTACACACTATCCTAAATGCTCTTAAAGCTCTCAAAAGTATTGTTAAGGGCACTATAAAATTGCCTTTTCTTGTTTTACGCCCTGTGGCAACTTCCAATCTTTTAGGGCTTTGCCCCTCCATTGCTCGAGAAACTTGAATTATATTTATATTTTCGCCGTTGAGATTTGTTTTTTCTTACAGCTTTTGCCGTTGCTATTTTGGAAGCCTCCAGCCTTGTAGCAAGAGGGAGAAAAAAGTTACTAACTTCCGCTTTTTGGAGAACTAGCTCTTCGTTTATTAAGCTTATACAGCTTCTTCACGCCGCGCCATATGTTGCTTTAAGCATTCATTAAGGCTGGAATCATCTTAGCCTTCAGAAATGGCAAACGATTAGGAATACCTTTCATGCTTTCACGTGGTACTTGCAATTTATGGAGTAAAAAAAGTAGCGCAAGATTACTTCAGCTTACCTTCATTTTCGCCAAATAATGCATTCCATCAGCTATTATCCATGCGAAAGACAAAAGATCTTTGGCTGTGAGCTTGGATGCCGGTTTTTTCTCTCCTGTGTTGTAGCTGTCTGAATGCCCTCTACTCTTCCTTAGATATCCCAGTAGATCACCATATGGTAAATACTCTAAGACTATCAGAAGAGGATCTAGACACATAAAAGTTTCAATGAATCAATCCTTTCGTTTGGAGAATTGACGGATGTGAATGTAATGGAAAAGGAGAGTAGAGGTGTGATTTTCAGGCAATCAGTTACTTCCCTGAGTTTATCTCTAGACATTCCAAATTAAGCAAATTAAAGACCCCCATTAGACTGAGAAGGATGGCACTTGAAGTGGAGTCCTAAGATGCCAGCTGTACACCCACGTTGCCCTCAATTACTCACATCATCACCATCATCATCATTATCATCATCATCATTCTAGTGCACAGATCTTCGGATATGCCATTCATTTTCCGATCTTCCTTGGGTTTTAGAAGCAGACGACTCACCATTTTTGCTAACCAATGTTAATTAACTTCAGTTTTGTTTGGTTTAAAAGCCTAGTGACACTTAAAATATTCTCCGCTTTATTCCCATACTTTTAATTGCTATAAACGTATGGTTTCTTTGATTGTTTTTTTCTTTTCTGAGAATTAGCATATGTCGTTATATCGCGCGGTCACAAGCGTCCATTAGCGCTCGTCCAAATTACGACTCTAAGTGCCAACATGGCGACTCTGGATAATATTAAGGTGCTTTTAACGTAAAGAAAAAAAATCACTGTTCCTTTAGCCTCTAGGCTTCAAATAGTTATTTAAAATAATTACTTTTCCTTGTTATCTCATTGTAAACATTTTTCTTTTAATAATCATAAGTGTGAGTCAATAAAAGATTGATTGTTGTTATTGTTCTTAACTTATCTTTTTGCAACGTTTTTCACACTTAGAGGATGTAGAACATGACCTACCATTGAGGCTACAGCATCCAATCAGCTTTAAGACATGAGGGTGGGGCTTCAAACTCTTCATAACATTCAATTCTGTAATCATATCCTGTTTATCCTTAGCACTGGCACTTGCTTAAATCCAATAAAAGAATGGAAACTCTTAGTATAGAAAGGGGCTTGTTTTGGTTTCTTTTTGGTTTCATTATATTTTAGTTTTCTGGAAACTTGCATTACTAAATGGAAGAAAAAAGGGGGTTTAAAGGCTTTGTTATTGCTGTAGGTTGTCATTGATGTCATGTTTTCCCTCTCTGAGTTGATACTGACCAAGCAATATAAACCACGCACTGTTGTTTTACTAGAAAAGCCAGGAGTATGCATTGGTGCGTAAGTATCCAAACCAAAACGCGAAAAGCTAAATTACCTGACGGAATGGTCAAAGAAGTACCAAGAAAGTGATTATAAGCCCTTCCATGTTTAATGTAATATAACGATAACGTTAATCAGTAAAACGTCTTGCTACGCGTGTCACCAGTGTGATTGCCTTTCCCAATGGGATCATAAATAGTGGCAAGAAAACTTAAGAGTGGCTTTCCGTAAATATCGACCCACGGTCGGCACAAGTTGAAAATTTGATTTCGCTCATATTTGGCTCATCGATAACCCTTAATGAGTAATGAAACATGCTGTAGTTAGTTTTCCTAAATAACGTATTCTCTTGTTAAAATTCGAGAAAGCGCATTTTGCCCGTTCGGAGCTCAAAATCCACTTCCGGTAAAGCGAAATTTTACACAAATTCCACTGACTCGTACGTCAAACCACAACGATTTGGCAGCCTTTGAAGAACACGAATAGTTTTTATGACCCTTTCTTTATCATAAGGCGATAAATTTGTGAAATCTGTAATAATTTTGTGGCCAAAAAGGTACTGTTAAAAATAGGCCCTATGACAATTTCTGCCGTTCAAAATTATAGGGATAAAATAATGCAAATTTTTACAATGCGCTATAACTTTAAATTCCGCAAATTGACTTTCTACTGCTTAACTAGGCCCCAGTCTATCAGAAAATCGAAACAAATCTCTGGGAAAACGATTTTAAGTAGCTCGCAAGACGTTGAATTCAACCCTAATTTTGCAAAAAAAACCGCGACATTGCCGTGGTTAAAAATAGCGTTACACGGCCCGTCACGCCAATGTTACCGATAGATATGCTTTAAACAATTTACTTAAAGGTTGATTAAAAGCCAGTTGGAAATTAAATCTTTTACTAAACCTATTATTCTCATTGATTGCAACATTTTCTTCAATATAGGGTCCCCGGGATAGCGTCACACACTTTCATGTTTGAGTTTCAGACTGGCGATTTCCCTCAAAAAATGGTATATAAACAGAACAAAATCTAAAAACTAAAACTGATAACTGAATGAATTTTTGCATTGAGAGATATTTGCGAATTAAAACATCGCCAATCAATGCCATTTGGTTTATAAAAACTAATTTACTTGAAGCAATTTTAAAGAATAAAAATATTTTAGACCAAGTATTGGTGCAATAGTTCTTTTCGAAGTTTTTACCCTTGCGGGCTCTCAAAACTGAAAAAAAAGCTACGTGGATGCCCCAAGAGGAGCATATACTTGTATGACAACGCGTATGAATTATTAAGCTACTGCATGACTATGACCCATTAAAACAAACTAAGAGGACTCTTTGGTGCTTTGCCAGGCCTACCATAAACTCAGTTTCGGGTTGCTTTCGACGTTTCAGTGGAAAATTCCTGAAACAAACGAACGTCTGAAAAAGCAATCGCCTATTTCCTGGTTGGAAATTTCCAGGCGGAAGTTCGGATTTCATGTCTTCAAACCTTTTTTGAATATTAGTTTCAGGCTTTCGCGGCCGTTTTTCATTAAACGAAACTGACTTAGGAAAATGGTAAACGCGATTACCGAACGGAATCAAAATTAATCAGTCCTCAATTCTCCTCACCATTTGCCCAAACCGTGAAGCGACCGGTTTACCAATGTAAATAGTAGAAAAGCCTTGATGCCAAGAGCCTGCGATAAAGCTTCCTCTCATCGCTATCTGCCGCCAGTACTTTGAGGGGCCTTGTTAAGTGCATAATAGATCGTAGCAAGGGCAGATCGTTGCAGTATCTCTAATTACTTATTAAGAGACACCAACAGAAAACTCGCTATTCCTCTACCCGAGACAAATGCTAAGAAAAATAGTTTTTTGGAGCTGTTCTTTGGAATAGCCTTCCTATATATTGACCAGCAGCAGGCGAAGTCTCTTGGGGTTTTCAGGGCCGGCTGCAAACAATTCTTCTGGAGATCTACACGGTACTTACGTAAAGCGGACTAAGGCTTTCAGTCTTCTAGTATTCGGTTTGTGACAAAGACAAAGGTAAGGTTTTGGAAGCCTGCTTGGGCGTCTAAGTTTCATAGACTAAGGTTACGGAGGATGAGGAAAGTCCTCAAGTCTGTCTTTCCTTTTCAGGTGTTCCCCTTCGTTCGTTACAAGGTTCTTCTTAGGTTAAGTGTTATACTCTATTTTGTTTCCCTATTTTTATTTTTATTTATTTTTTTTTTTTTTTTTGCGGAAAAGACGATGTTCTCTTTCCAAACGCTGTTGAAAGGAACTTTCAGTCTTTTAAAACCTGTCATCTGCAGTTCAGTATTACAGCTAGAGTTTCCATGACACTAAAACGTCAATCAGTGCAAAGTCTTCGAGGCCACAAAGCAGCCCGTACTTTTTGCGTAAGCCAAGAAGGCGGAATAGTCGAGGCAATGGTCTGGAGCAAAACAAAATGGTCGTTCCCTCTTGTCTGGAGCAGAGAGGGCACGGCGGGGGAGGGGAGAGGTGAGTGAGACTGGGAGAGAATCGAAAAATAAGTCTAAAAAATACAATAGAAAATGACAAAGAAAAAATAAAAGAAAGAAAACAAGAAAGAAAAAAAAGTTTCGCAATCTAAAAGCAGTTGAAAAGTTAGTACTACCAAATCCGTTCCTGCTGATCAATAACAAAGCGCCAAAAGTGCTGGACGCTCCAGTTGAATACCGTATTTATTTGAATAAGCGCCCATTCTCGAATTAGCGCCCACCTCGAATAAGCGCCCATCCTAAAGGCAGCAAAGTTAATATGCGCCCACACCCACCCCACTCCCTCCCACACAAACTCAAATAAGAGATAATAAGTAATAGAGAGACCCTCCCGAAGACGGAGTTTTCTTCAGAGCATTTTAAAGAAACCTTGCTTTGTTACATCTCCGCTTTTTGTTATTACCCCCGCAAAAAAACTAACATACTACACTTGCTAAGAATGCTAAGAATGGCGAAAATTTAATAAGCGCCCAACCTCGAATAAGCGCCCACTCTCAAGGTCCAAAAAATTAATAAGCGCCCAGGGCTGAGTTGCTCAAAGCATGGTTAGCTTTAACCATTGGTTAAGCAGTATCAAAACCAATACGTTGTCAAGGTATTTAACGCTGGTTAACGCTAACCATGCTTTGAGCAACTGGGCCCAGGGCGGTTAATCGAATAAATACGGTAAACACCATAAATATTTGTAAATGAAGGACGTAGTTAACCTGTAACAGGCCTTCAGGTAGTTGGGAAAACGCAAAGAAAAGTGGGCTAGAAAAAATGGCAAAGGGGCGGGGTTAGGGAGAGAGGGCGATAGGTCCTCCTAATCTCTCCCTCTTACTCTCTTCCACGTTTGTTTTCCTCCGTTCCCCATTTCGCGCCACTGTCCACTATCCACTATCCACTATCCACTGTCCACTGTCCACTGTCCACTACGCCTGGAATAGGCTAGTTCAGAGTGGGCCAGGGAGTTTTTTTCCATTGGCGATGCAATAGATCTATAGATGTCCATTTAGGAGCATTTGCCATTTTTAAAAGCTCATGATCACGCTGCAACTATTCCTGCTTTAGCATTAGTAAAACGACACTTTTTTTTCTATTTTCCGTTTTGCTGTAGAGGAAAGTTTTTGTTGATTTGTTTTTGATGATGGTGTTTCATCGTCGATCAAAACGAGTTAAAATGTTTTCTGAAACGTTCGTTACAAAGTAACTTTATAAGCGTGATAGTAATACATCGAAACGTACATTTATACTTATACATAATTACTTGAAATAGAAAACTCGCAAGAAAAAAAAAGAGTTCTAATCAGTTAATATTGTTTATCCCCGTCTTAAATTTAACGTATTTATGCCTTTTGACGCATGCTTAAATTAATAGAACACACCACTGTACTTGTTCAAAGTTTGTTTTCGTTCGGCTCCGGTCGTCGACGTCTTGCCGACGTCGCTCAAAAAAGGCGACTTTTGGGCAATTCTACACTATATATTGTATCCAAACAAAATGACTCTTCTAAATAAGATAAGTGTATTGAAAGATGTAATATAGATTGTATGCTGGAATTTGGCATGTGATCAGCGTTGAATAGAATGTTGAAAGTGAATCTGTGGTTAACACCGCTGGCGTGACAGGCCGTGTCACGCTATTTTTAACCACTGGAATGTCGCGATTTTTCGCAAAATTAGGGTTGAACTCGGCGTCTTGCGGGCTACTTAAAATCGTTTGCCCAGAGATTTGTTTCGATTTTCTGATATATTGGGGCCTAGTTAAGCCGTAGAAAGTCAATTTGCGAAATTCTAAGTTATAGCGCATTGTAAAAAATTACATTATTTTAACCCCATAATTTTGAACGGTAGAAATTGTCAATAGGGCCTATTTTTAACAATACCTTTTTGGCCACAAACTTATCACAGCTTTCACAAATTTATCTTCTTATAAGAAAGAAAGGGTCATAAAAACTATTCGTGTTCTTCAAAGGCTGCCAAATCGTTGTGGTTTGACGTACGAGTCAATGGAATTTGTGTAAAATTTCGCTTTACCGGAAGTGGATTTTGAGCTCCGAACGGGCAAAATGAGTTTTCTCGAATACCTTATTTGGGAAAACTAACTACAGCATGTTTCATTACTCATCAAGGGTTATCGATGAGCCAAAAATGAGCGAAATTCGAATTTTGAACTTGTGCCACAAAAAGTCGATTTTGGTCGATATTTACAGACAGTCGCTCTTAAGTAAAATGGAATGTGAGTTGACAATTACAAACCTTTTCGTTCCTTTCCTGGCCATTTTCATTGTTTTGGGGAAACTGTCTCTATTGTTCGCAAAACAAAAGTTGCGATAACCGACGCGTAGCAAAATCATCGACCGCGAAATTCAAAACTGACTTCGGAAGCAACCGTAGAGTTACAAATGCCGTCTTTGAGGGGGTGGGGTGTGGAGAAAATCTTCGTTTCAAATAGCCTAACAGGTGACGTGTGGGTAACTTTGTTCGGTTGAAATAACCTTACGGGTGAGGAGTGGGTCAATTTGTCCTGAAGTGGTTTCTTCCTTAGCTTCAGAGTGGAATTCCTCTGTCTCGGAAAGGTAGCGTGTAAGCCTCAACTTCTCACAAAATCTATTGCATTAACAAGATATAAGAAGCGTAAAACGTAGAATCCCTTGACTTGAAATCAAATATCTTGCATGACTTTTTGTGTGATTTTATTTTACTATATGTATATNTACTACTACTACTACTACTACTACTACTACTACTACTACTACTACTACTACTACTAATAATAATAATAATACCACTGATGATAAATTATTACCATCATTAATATAATAATAATGATAATGTTAATGATAATAATAATGATAATAAAAATTATAATGATAACGATAATAATGATAATAATACTAATAATGATAATGATGAAGATAATGATATTGATATTAATATTGATAATGATGCTGATAATAATAATGATTATGATTATGATAACAATAATATAATAATCTTTTATTGATAAGAAAGCTAACTACAAAATGCTATTTACAATTTAACTTCGCTTTAAAAAACGGCCGTGAAAGTACTATTTAGAATTCTTTTTTAAATGAACATCTAATTTCCATTCAAAAAATTCATTTCGATAAAAAAGGTATTAGAATTAAAAAAAAGAATTTCATTTCAACTAAAGAAAACAATCACTTCGATTATTAGTTTTGCAAAAACTATTTTCCAGTTCAAAGTAAACGTAATCTAATAAAACGTAATCTAATCTCCCTTGTCTAAATAAACGCCCTGACACAAAACCAACGTTCATTAAAGAAGGTGCAAATCATTATATGTCCCATACCTTGCCTTCTAAAAGGTAGGTTTTGGGTTTCTTCATTTGTTGCATTTCCCCTGAAG